CTTTATGGAACACTCAGCATGACATCTCTTCCTCCTCCTTCTCCTTCTCCTCCTCCTCTTCCTCCTCCTCCTCCTCCTCCTCCTCCTTCTCCTCTCAGATTCACTCAGACTCTGTCACAGCCCTCCATGTGCTTCCTGAGATGCTGGTGACAGGCTCAAAGGATAGAGATGTGAAGCTGTGGGCGAGGCCCAGTATGCAACTGGTAAGAGTGTGTGTGTGTGCACATGGGTGTGCACATTGGCATGCATGTTTGTGAGTAGACATGCACACTTGCAAGAAGGGGCTAAAGGGATATTACCAGAGAACTTGTTTGGGTAAGAACAGGCACAAGGTCAGGTTCCATTTTCTTTAATTCTTTTTGCAGCGATATCCCTGCTTCTAAATAAAGTCATTCATTCGTAAGAGAAAAAAATGTTACTGTGGAGACCCTGGGTGGGTAGCTGGCCCTCACCTTCCCCATTTGTGTTCCCTTTCAGCTGGGCCTGTTCCGATGTGAAGGGGCAGTGAGCTGCCTGGACCCGTGGCTGGGACCTGACTCGACCCTGCAGCTCGCCGTGGGAGACACACAGGGCCACGTATACTTTTTGTCCTGGGAGTGAAGATGGACTACTCGGGAACACAGGACACCACTTGTGCTAGAGATGCAGAGCCTCAAGGTTCTGTGGTGCCTCCTTCCCCAATTACACAAATAAAGTGTTAGCGCGTCTTCAGCACAGCCGCGTCTGTGTTCTCATGTGGCTTCAGACCAGAAAGGAAGAAGATATGGGTGTTCTGTCATTTTCATTTCTTTTCTCATCTACCATTAATTCCTGATGCAACTTAAATGATGTGAAGCACACCTTGAGTAGGCGCTTTCGTGTGCATCCAGTGTTGGGAACTCCTGTGTCCCTTGCTGGCCCAGGACCTCAGCTCCCATGCCTTCCCAGGGGGCAAAAGACTGATTCAGCAGCACTTAGTTTGAGCAGAGAGCAAAGAGCACTCACTTGGTAAAAAAGAACAAGGGAAGGAAGAGTGCGCCAGCAGGGCAGCAGGATATTCAGCATGCTGTGGGATACAACCAGGACAACACTAGGGTGCTCTCCTGGAAACAGCCATCAGGGCTACCTTCCCAGATGATGCAGAGCAGCAGCCCTGAGAGCAGAACGTGTCTCCTGCTTTCCACAGCCCTGCAGGTGTTAGTGCAGTCGTTGGCATTCCATGAAAAATAAGTCACAAAGGTAGGTCTTTCTCATGTTGGAACTTACACAGCTTAACATGTGACAAAGTGGAGTGGTCACATTCATGACTTGACAAGGATCCTAATCCTCTTAAGTTAAAGTTCTACAACTTGCTTATTTTCCTATAATTCTAACCTATAGAAGTAATTCAGGCACCTTCTGAGGGTTCAGAAGAAGGAAACATCTTCTGTGTTCATGAATTTAAGGACTTGCCAGTCCAGAGGAGACTGAAACAAAAGGTGAAAAATAATCTTAAGAATTTAAGGATTTATATATGCAAAACAGGACTATGACAAGGATTTTTGTCCTGGGCTGGTAGCATTCTCAGTGAAATGCCATTAGGTAGTCCCAACGAGATAGCTCAGTGGGCTCAGGGCCTGCTTAGGCAAGCACAGGGACTGGGGTTTGATGCTCCACATCATGTGCCAAGCAGGCCCTACCTTTGGGTGCTCTGAGCCAGCCACTGTGTCCAGGTGTGGTAGTACACACCTGAAATCCAAGTTCTGAGGAGGCTGAGGCAGGAGGATTGCCATGAATTCCCAGTCAGCTTCAACTACATAGTGAGTTCAGGGACAACCTGAACTATACAGCAAGATCTTATCTAATAAAAAGGAAAATATAGTCTTCTGCTACAGCAACCATTGAGAGTAGCCATGGCCCTCTGCTATCCCATGGCCATGGGCCTCAACAAGGACCACAAGGTGACTAACGATGTGAGCAAGCAGAGGCACAGCCACCTCCGTGGACATCTCACCAAACATACCAAGTTGGTGCAGGACGTGATCCGGGAGGTGGGCGGCTTTGCCCCCTATGAGTGGCGTGCTCAAGGGCTCCAAGGACAAGTGTGCCCACAAGTTCATCAAGAAAAGGGTGGGGACGCACATCTGTGCCAAGAGGAAGCATGAGGAGCTGAGCAACATGCTGGCCACCATGAGGAAGGCAGCTGCCAAGAAGGACTGAGCCCCTCAAATAAAGCTTTGCAGAAAGTTTTTCTTTTTTTTTTTAAGGAAAATATAAGTAGAGTGGACCACTTTTTTTACGTTGTATTTATTTTTGTGGTTAGTGTCTTACTGTGCCTCTTTTATAAATTAACATTTATCATAGATAAGTGTATAAAAAGACTTTATTCACAGATCAGTGCTATTTTGATTTTAGGCATCGATTTAGGTCTTACGGAAAAGGGAGCTATTGTGTGTATGCAAGAGAGCTGGAGGAAAATGAGTTATATTTTGTGTGAATGCTATCCTTTGGGTTTTTCACCCATTAAACAAGACTTGGGTCTCACAGTGCCTGGGTGAGCTCCCCATTTACTATACCTGGATTATAGGATTATAGGATCATGGGGCATTTCTTCTACTCATCCATAACAGCATCTTTCTCACACACTTAATTATTTTTTTAAACAACCTGTTCTTATATATCCATTCATATTTATTTTTCAAATCTGGAGCAGAGGTGTCAAAAATTTGGTTTGTGCTCTATCATTGGGCACAAGTTGTTAATGGTCTTCAGTGAGGTATGTACAGATCAGTTAGAAGTTTATCGTATTTAGAAACTATAGGACTTTGAAAATTAACCGTATGGCAAACACATTTAGTAATATAGTGTAAGTATATTTTGCTTTTTCACATTCATAGCAATTTGTTTATTACATTTTGCAAACATTTCAGGACAGATGAGAAATTACAATAAAGAAATAAAGGGTGAAGAAGATCCAGAAGTTGAATTCTTAAAGTCACTAACAACCAAACAAAAACAGAAACTTCTCAGGAAACTGGACAGACTTGAAAAGAAAAATAAGAAAAAGAAGAGAGACAGAAAAAATAAAAAGTTACGCAAGACCAAAAGTAAACACAAAAAGCATAAGCGCAAATCCTCCTCCTCTTCTTCATCTTCCTCCTCTTCCTCCTCCTCTTCCTCTTCCTCCTCTTCAGAGACTTCCGAAAGCAGCAGTGAGAGTGACAGCAGAGCAAAGAAAATAGAAAAGAAGAAGAAAAAATCCAAGTGTTTAGGAAGTAACAACAGTGCTTCTGAAGAGAAGAAATCTAAGAAGAGAAAACTTTATGAAGAACCCTCAAGCCTTCACAATAACAA